ATTCAACAAGGAAAAATAATTAAAAAAATTCACATTTAAATAATTTTTCCAACTTTAAAAGAATTTCCAAAGTTGATTTATCAATTAAAAACGTTTTCGTTTCCAAAATTATTGATTATTCAAATAAAAAATATCCATTTAATTTAAATTCCCTCATTCAACCATCTGCCCTCCTCGCGTTAATTCTCAGCGTCATAAATAAAAATTGGCCGCAGTTTGTTTGAAAGAGGTTGATTAAACTCTTTGGAGAAATTACAATTTGACATTTTGATGTCTTCACACATTGCGATTAACACTAACGCATCAGCATCGCCCAAACAATTTAAATTCAGCCGATACGAATGGCGACACGCAATACTCGTTTTTTAAATCTCATTTTTCGCGTATGAGAGCAAAATAATGTGCATACGGAGTTGGGAGATGAGGATGGTGAGGGTCATTGGACCAAAAACGCGCGTGTCGGGATACCAGAGAGTCAGAGTCTCTTCGACGATTCCAAACTTATTTTTGGCGATGAAATACCCCNCCCCCCCCTCCCCCTTCCCTCCGCAGCCCCCGTCATGTCTCTTCGGTCCACCAATCTCCCCTCATTCCACTTTTCTCGCGATTCTCGCGAACGGAATTTTCGAACGGTGAACGACACATCTGATCGGGTGGATCATCTCTGATGTCACTCCTTTTTTTCATCATTTTATTGGGAGTTGGGATTGATTTATTGTCTTTAGTGAAATGAGAGACTAATTTTGGGCGAAAATAATTCCTTGTTATTTGTTTTCCTCTAATATACGACAATTTTGGGAATTAATTCAGTGGAAAAATTGTAAAATTTGATAGAATGAGCAATTTTTAACGCAGAGGAAGAAATGTTGCTGTTTTTTTTGCAAATAAATAGATAAAAATTAGGAGCGATGCATACAAAAAGAAGAATTTGAAAATTCGCGCGGTTTTATAGCGACTAACTTCACGCGACTCATCGACCAATCAATCACCATTTTGATATAAAACAGCTCCCCGCGACTTTCATCCTTCAGATGGGACCGACCGATCAACCCTCCCCTAATTTCCCTCCCCTCCCCCGGAATCCCCTTAACCCCCTCTCTCCCGAGTACTTTGACCCCGCTCACCCATCCACCCCCAATTTTCCTCTCAAGTTCTCTCAATGTCCGTCCGGTTGTCACTTTGTTCCTCATGTCACCCATCGCTGCCAAGACTCTCTCGGCGAGCAAACGCGCGCTTTCAATTTGAGTCTCTGTTCCACTGGAAAGTGGCAGAATAAAAAAAGACGACTCCCCTCCCCCTTCCAGCCGCCAAAAAAACGCTGAAGACACTCGTTATACTCGCGTGTGACGCACCGGACGGAATTCAGTAAATATCATAAAGCATACTGCAGTTGAGTCGAATATATTCGCATTAGCGAGTGTAACGCGATATCCACCATCTTGAAATAATTTTTTTATTCTCTTCACCTTATCTCTTTTCCATTTCTCCCTCACTTATATCTTCGCGCAGCAAATAAATGCTTCAGTATCCGGTGGAGAGCTCTGCCTCTCNTTTTTTTTTTTTTTTTTTTTTTTTTTTTTTTTTTTTTTTTTTTTTTTTTTTTTTTTTTTTTTTTTTTTTTTTCCTCCTTTGAGACAACGATTGGACGGGGGAGTGGGAGGGGGATGCATGTAAGGAGGGTGTCGAGACTCTTCGTCTCCTTCTTGCGCATCGACACGGGAGATGGGTATAAGGAGTTTATTTTTGGCTGCCATATGCGAGGTTATTTCGATTTGGCTACGAGGAGGGCGCGAGAATACACCCTAAATAGAGTGGGAGCTCTGTCTTGCGGGTTGGAGTGACTTTTTTGGGGGAAATCAGAGGGGAGAGGAGGCTTGATAGGATTTTGGGGTCTTTGATTTGAGGTTTTGGTTGAAAAATGAATTTTTTCGACTTTTTTTTCAATTTTAGAATATTTGGATTTTACTTGGGGCAATTTTTGGTTTCGTTTACTCTTGGATTCAGCGTTTTCTTCGAATTATAATTTCGTTGCATTTTTTTTCAGAGAATTCAACATTATTATGTTGATAAATGGATTAACATAATTTTCTAGAGAAATTTCCGAAGCTTTTATTTTCGAAATATTCCCAAAATCGATAAGTTTATCAAAAAAAATCATAAAACCTTTTTTGTAGGCAATTCAAGTCTCTAGAAAAATGTCTTGTCATGTTTTTTGATAACTCTACTAGTTTGGGAGATATTTGCAGAAGAGTTCGTTAAGAATTGAATGTATAAACCAAAAAGAGTCCAAACATTCACGTAAACTGTTTCCTAGATATCCCCAGAACTACTGGGTTTATAAAAAATTCCAAAACTCATTATCAAAAAACAAAAAATATCTAAGAACCAAAAATGTCACACGATATTTTTTAATATTTTTTAAACAATTTTTTATTTCGTAAATGTTCCAAAAATCAATATTTTTTATGAACAATATCGTCAGACATTGTTTGTACCTCATGAAAACAACGAGAGAATAATTTTTTGGCTACTCGTTTTGATTTTTAATTCGTTACATTCAAAGAACTGACACGCCCAATTTGTTTATAATCTCGTTAACCTAAACAACTTGTTATTCTCCCGTCAAATTTTTACATCCCCCCAATTCTGTAATAATTTGTTGCAAATAAATCTAAAAATAGGCCATTGAAACATTTGGCATTGTGCCTCAAATCCGTTCACATTCGATTTCTCGTCTCGTTGTTGAATACACGAGACAGCTCAACTGGGATAGAAAAACAGAGTATGAACTACGCGGGATAGCGAGTGCTGAAAATAACTAAATCGTCATTTTCCTCGATTTTATCTAAATATAACGAAAAATAGTTTTCACGAGTTTGCTTACACGCTGTGGTAACGGCTCTTGGAGTGAGTGGAAAATGCGGAAAGAGTTGGGGGGAAAGGAGAAAGGAGGTGGGACGTACAAGAGAGTAGGGACGACGCATAAACGTATAATTGGCTGCACTTAAATCTCTATAACGCAGCAGTAAAAATGCGTGGAGCGCCACGTAAATCAACACGAGTACGATATGGCCATGGCGCCCCACTCCTTCAACTACTAGGCATTTGTTGAGTGCAGATTCATTCGTAGAATAATTTAATCAATGGGAATTTCATCGATTTTTAGCTCTAGATGGAGTTCTAAAGTTGCTTTGTATCGAAATGTATCGAAATTAAGTTGTTTTATATCGAAATGTATCGAGACGAAGTTGCTTTATATCGAAATGTATCGAAATTGATTGTTCTCAATTTCGATTGGTCACGAATTATTTTTTGCATTGGAATTGTCTATTTTTTCATGTTTATGTCTTGGAAGGGATTTTTTGAAAGGAATTTTTCTAGGTAAATTTCGTTGATGAAAATCCAGAGTAGATTCTCCCGCTCGATTTGCCGGCAACGGTACATTACCTCGATATACTTTCCGACAAAATTAACTGCAATCAGTGGGGAAAATGGCCCCAGCCGTTTCGAATTTCTCTGGATTTTACCGCTGATCGCATCTCATTCATTCCCGTCGTCTCAAGAATTCTCATTATTTCAATTTCATGATTTTAATTGAGAGAAAAATTCGGTGCTGTCTCGAGCAATTTTTTATCCTCTGATTACATATGACAGAAAAATGTTATTATTAAATTTTTAATTTGTCGAGGTTTTTTTATTTTTTTGCCCATAAAAATTTTTTTCTCAAGTCTGAGGGCAGAAAAAATGTTTTTAGAATCAAAGAAAAAAAGGAGAATAGTTCTTGAATGGAAAAAAAATTTCGTCTATTTGGGTTTTCAAATTAAGAAGATTTTTATTTTTAAATTGATATTTTTTCTCGTAAAAAAATGTATTCTACTGAGCTCATTGTTATTAAAAATATATGACCGCACATCATGTTTCAAATAATGTTGAATTAATGTTCAGTCACTCAGGAATTTTATCCCTTCAGAATTTTTTCACTTCAAAAATGAAAAAATTTCTTAATTAAAAAAATCAAAGTTTTTTTTTTTTTACAATTTGAAATTTTGGAAATTTCTCTTCTGAAATTCAACAAACACACTCGCGTTTCCATGATAACACATATAATAACTACGAGTTTCTGAAAATCACCGACTTAATTCCCAAAATAGAAACCTTTTCCTGAAAAAAAAAAAAAAATTTTAATAAAAAAAAAAATGGACTTATTTTGCTCCACAAAAGCGACGATTTGGTGCTCTACCAAAAGATGCAGATAGTAAGCCATCTTGATATCTCTCATTACCCCCTTCCCCCCGTCCTTTAGTCCCACCCCCTTTTACCTCCTCTAGGGATTTCACAATGGAGTGAGAGAAGCGTGCAATTAAAAAGCTAAGATTGATAAATGACGGGGAATTAATGCGCAGGGTGGAGACCTCTGGAGGGCACGGGCACTAGAACGGTTCAACAGCGATGGGCGAGCCCGGGGGGGTGGGGGGAGAGAGGATGCCATTCGAGGGTGATTGCGGGTGGCTTAATGGTGTTTGTATGCATGGGAACTAGTGCGAGGGGTGTTGCGAGTCAACCCCTCTTCCCTTCCACGCGTTTGACATCAACCCAGACTGGACCCCTATTTTTTCATTCGAGGGGATTAAAAAACCTGACAATTTTATGGTTTTGCTGAGGACCTGTCGATTATTTTGGGAATGTCTTCGAGGGGGAGAGGAGTGGGGAATTTATTAAAAGATATTTTTTGTAGAGAATTTCATATCCCACGAAAAAAAAACAAATGCCTGATTTTTTTAATGAATTTTCCTCATCCCCAGATATTTATGAAGAATTTAATAAATTGAAAAAAAATTATTCTTATAATTTGGAATGTATTGATTAATTATCAATCGTAAAATTTGGATGACGTGTGACACAATGACTTTCATTAATTACTGATTTATGATAATGATTAAATTTTTTTTTTCAATTGAAATGCTTGAAACTTACGTGTTTTTTAATGGAAACTGTTACAGGTGACGCGAGTAACGCGAGTATCGGTAGTGGTGAGGGTACGGGTGAAGAGGACGACGATTCGTCGGGTAAAAAGAACCAAAAGAAGAGAGGAATTTTTCCAAAGGTTGCGACAAACATCCTCAGGGCGTGGCTCTTTCAACACCTCACGGTAAGTCTGAAAAACGCAATTTTTTCCAGAGACTAAAAAAACCAGAGATGATTTTTCACTCCTCCTCACTCAAATTGAATTGTTACAACTTTTAACTCAAAATTTTTCTACTCATCCCCTCAATATTTTTTTAAATTACTAAACTAATTTATTTCAATGAGAATTCTCTAATTGCACAGAATCATTTTTTCCACTAATTCCATCATTATTTTCTTCAATTAATAAACTCATTTTTTTAATGGAAATTTCCTAATTATACAAAATAAATAATTCTTTTCTTCTAAATAAATCTTCCATCACAATCAAATAAACAATTCACTCGTGTCTACCACATTCTGCTGCGCCTCAAAAGTTTTTCCCCAGTGCTGTCCACCCCTTTGAAGTCACCGTGTCACTCAATCCCTTAGTGATTACTCCCCCCCCCCAAACAACCCATCAATAAATAATCACCAAATGCAGCGATAAGAGACGTTTCAATATCCCCTAATTCACTTTCATTCTCATTCCCTCGTTCTAATGATTCACGCGTAATCTGAGCCGCAAAAAGCACAACGCGATTAGCTCCACCCCCCCCCCCCCTCCAGCCCCCCACAGCCTCATGCTACATACGTTGGGTTGCGTAACGCA